GCATGGGCCAGCACAGCACTGCATGGGCCAGCACAGCACTGCATGGGCCAGCACAGCACTGCATGGGCCACTGTGGCACCACATGCTGTGCATGGGCCACTACAGCCCCACACAAGCCCCCATGGTGGTGCACAGGCCACCACGGCACTGCCTGGCACCTGATGGGCCAGCACACAGCTGTGTGACACTGCAGGGACAGGTGGCACAGTGTGACACTACCAGCTCTGCTCTGGCTCAGCCCTTCACACCTTGAGAGGTGTCCAAATGTGCCTGGCCTCAGTGACTCGCTGTGACCTCGGGGCCAGGTTATGCTGCACCCCAGGCGGGGGGGGCCCTGCCCGAGGGGACCAGGAATGGGCTTTCAGCAGGTGCTGAACATGGGCTTTAACCCTTGGCTGCTTCCCAGTTCTCACTGCACTTCTCCTGTGGGGGCAATCCAGCCACAGCCTCTCCAATATGGGATGCTCAGGGACAAGGTCAGGAACGGCAGGAGAAGCTCCCAGGGTTGCTGCCAGCCCTGGTCTGAGGGTTTGGGGCTGATCTGGGAAATTCACTGCCTGGGAGCTCCCGAAAGCAAACCCGACCCCCCCTTACCCTTTACTCACCTGCAAGGCCCTGTGGGGACCCGACCGGGGTGGAGGGGTTGGAGGAGAAGTTATTGCTAGAGTGGTCGGGGGAGTAAATCTGCAGGGACAGAAGGGGGACGGTCAGCAGTGCCATCCTGAGCTAGCTGTCCCCTCCCAGTGGCACCCACCACCTGCTGGGACCTCCCTTCCCAAACCCACAGCACAAAGCCCAGTTCCCCCCAGTTCCCCCACTAACCCCGGGGTCTCCCTCTCTGTCATTGTCACCACCCCTGAGTGCAGCCTCTGCTCTTGAGGTCCCCTCTCAAGGAGGAAGCAGAAGCTCTCAGGAATTGTTGCAGGGTGCACTGTCAGCACCCCTCTGGCACCGTGCAAAGATCATGGAACGGGACAGAGGCAACTCTCTGGTAACCCAGTGAGACCAGTGCCCTCCAGTTTGAACCAGCACACACAGGGCAAGGACCTGCAAGTCCTGCCACAAGGTCTGTGTAGGGTGGTCTTGGCAGAGCAGCACCAGGCTGGCAGGGCACAGAGCAGGAAATGGGGCTGCAGGGCCACCACAACCTGCAGTGCCTCAGTTTCCCCATCCGTACATCAGTTTTCCCATCCAACAAAAGGTGCCGGGACTGAGAGATGACAGCACAGGGAGAGGGAAAACCTTCCCTCAGAGGCTGCTGTGGATTTGGGATCCATTCACCAAACGTGTCCATGCTTCCCTGCTGGGTAGAGTGTTCCTGCAGCAGCAGGACCAGGAGTGGGTCAGGACTATCCCAAACTCTTACCGAGGCCAGAGCCTTCCCAAGCGCGTCTCCAGAGCTCCCGGCTGTGGTTCCTCTGTTACCTGCCAAGAGAGGACACAGATGCCATTGCCAAGGCCCCAGACCCCAGCAGGACACAGGACCTTACAAGACCTTATTTGGGCTCTCCTGCTTTGGGGTGGAAATTTTCTGCTTTTAGTACTATGCTTGAAAATTAAATGTTTGTCCAGCTCGGAGCAGCTGGGACATGGAGCACCTTCCCCTGGAAGCCATCAAGGGGCTTCAGAGACATCTCTCCAAGCTCTGGGCTGGAGCTGTAGTGCCACCAACAGCAATCAGACGTCTCTGCTGCAGCACAGCCATTGCCATGGGGCATCTCAAACCCCAACAACCACCAATGCACTGGATGATCCCAGAGGTCTCTTCCAGCCTTAATGATACTTTCATTCTATGAATCCCAAACTTGCTTCTCCACAGAAAAACAAGTTTTTTTCTACAAATCTATGTCAGGATTCTCCTTTCCTGGGGAGCATGAGCTCATTTCAGTAACAGGTTTTGTAACAGGTTCAGCAGGGTCAGAGATGAAAGCACTTGGGGGTTAACGTGGTATCCAAACCCAGCACGAACATTCCCGCTCAGCATCTAGGGCAGCAGCTTCACACAGGTGCAAATCCATCCCACAACTCATCTAATCCACAGCACCTCCAGGAGATACTGCCAGGGCTCCTGGGCTCCCCCAGACCCACCCCACGAGGTGTAAACCCCCGGACCAGCACCCAGCTGCTCCAGCAGCAAGAACCTCACTGTGCCTCTTCCCCGGGCAGGGACTCCAGGCACAGGTGACACACAGGGACCAAAGGTGTCTGGGTGTGTTGGATGCCTCAGGCACCAGGTTTGTACAAGCCTTGGTTTTCCAGGTGAGCCTGTGCCTGGCTGTGGAGCGAGGGGTCACTGCAGTGATGGCCATACCCATCATGTTGTCCGTGCCGCTGATCGGGGGGGTGTGACTGGACACTCCGTACGCTGTGGAGGCCGAGGAGAAGCCGGACACCGAGGGGAGTCCACCATTCACCTCTCCTGAATGCAGCTGGTAGTTCTGGGAGGGAGGGGGAGAGGGGTGAGAGGGGCCCTGGAAAAGCTGTAGGGTTCAGCAGTTGTGGCCCAAGCCCACAGCCAGGGGAGAAGGTAACAGGGAGGTGACACAGCCATGGGGACACGTTACCATGCGTTCATGCTGATGTAAACTATTGAAGCCACTGGACTGCGGGAGCGGGGACGAGGAGCTGCCCAGCATGGCACCGTAACTGGACTGGCTCATGGCACCCGGGGAACTCCACAGGTCTGGCGAGTTATGGAGTCCATCTGCAAGGAACCCAGAGCTGAGTGGGGCAGGGACAGCAGCAGACAGTCCCCAGCCGCCCTGGCTGAGGGGCTGTGACTGTCCCCACCTTGCCCTGCCTGTGCTGAGCATCACTCGCTGAGTAAATCTGGACAAACTCCCTGGGACAGGGACAGGAGCCCAGGAAGGGCTGGAGCTGTGCCAGGGCTTGGGATGGATCTCAGGGCAAGGTTCTTCCCCCCGAGGCTGCTGGCACTGCCCAGGCTCCCCAGGGAATGGGCCCGGCCCCAAGGCTGCCAGAGCTCCAGGAGCGTTTGGACAGCGCTCTCAGGGATGCTCAGGGTGGGCTTGTTCGGGAGTCTGGGCAGGGCCAGGGCCTGCACTGGGTGATCCCTGAGGGTCCCTCCCAGCTCAGGATATTTGATGATTTTGGGGCTGCATTGTGTCTCATGCACTCCTGTCCTGAGCAATGTGCAGATGTGCAATCCCTCCCATGGTCCATAATGGGCAAGGCTGCCCCTGCTCTGCCTCTCTTGTGGGATCACAGAGCTGGGAATAATTCACCTGTCATGTAAAAGGCTCCAGGATACACAGTGCTGGGAGGTTTCGAGGGAGTATATCCAGCTGGATCCCTGCTGTAGTCATCACCTGAGTTGGATGGATACACCTGTGGGGCAGCAAAGGGGTTAAAGAGAAGGGCTTGGTCAGTACACAGCCCCACATCCTCACCGTGGCTGCCCCCAACTCTGCACAGCTTAAACTTCAAACCTCAGACTTCAGCAGTGTTTGACCACCTCTCCCAAGGCAGCAGAGCAGCAAGTGCTTCACTCAACTGACCTTTCAAGGCCTGGAGGGACAGGACACAGGGAATGGCTTCCAGTGCCAGAGGGCAGGGCTGGATGGGATATTGGGAAGGAATTGTTGGCTGGGAGGGTGGGCAGGCCCTGGCACAGGGTGCCCAGAGCAGCTGTGGCTGCCCCTGGATCCCTGGCAGTGCCCAAGGCCAGGCTGGACGGGGCTTGGAGCAGCCTGGGATGGTGGGAGGTGTCCCTGCCATGGCAGGGGTGGAACTGGATGAGCTTTAAGGTTCCTCCCAACCCAAACCATCTGATGAGTTCAGGAGCTTTGCTTTGATTCATCTCACAGCAGATCTGGGTGGGGAACTGGAGCAGCTCAGCCCAAGTCCTCAAAGGGCACAGCCCTACATGGAGCAGGGCAGGGGACAGGGGATAGGGCAGAGGGCACAGAGGACAGAGCACAGGGCAGAGGGGGCAGAGGAGAGGGCACGGGGAACAGGAAACAGGACACAGGGCTCCTCTCTGTCTGTTCCTGTCTTCTTTCTTGGTCCCCAGAACCTGCCCATCTCCAGCAGAAGTTTCGACTCTGTTCCAGTTCCGTTTTCCATGGTTATAACTTTTTCTGGGTAACCACAAAAGCCACCACTGCTGCAGTGACCCCACACTGGGGGGATGGGCTGGGTGGTGGCAGTGGGCACCCGTGTGGCCTCGGGACCCCCCTGTGCCAACCCTGCCCTGTGCCAGGCTCCCCAGCACAGCCCCTGCTCAAAGCCCACAGGGAAACAAGGCTGAGGGGAAACTGAGGCACGGGGGCTGAGCAGCCCCTCACAGCCATTTTCACAGGGGAGGGGACAAATCTCAGAGAGCCCTCACATAGCTCTTGGGTAAGCAGCACTGCTCAGCTCTGTCATTTAACAGCACATTAAGCAGAAGAAAAAGCTTTCCCTTCCCTTCTAAATTAACCAAACTCATCCTAGAAAGCCCTGACCAAAAATCAGCTTCTGCCAGGACAAAAACAGACTTTTCTTTTTTTAAAGCAGAAACCCAACACGCAAAGAAACCAAAATGGCATTCAAAGAAACTGAAATAGCACTCTGATGATGTGAGAACTTTTGTCACAGCTTATTTTCATCCCCTTTGATTCATTCTGAAACTGATAATTTTTTTTTAATCCAGCCAAAAGCAGAGGTGGGGCAGGGGCTGGGCTCTGCCTGGCACAGACAGTTCTCTCTGGGAAGGAAACTTGCCTGAGTTTCTTTTTCCCCACAGCCAGCTGCTCCCTTCCAGCCCTCGTCCAAAATTGATGGTGGGGAATAAAAGACACAATCAGAGAATCCTTAAGGTTGGAAGAGAACTTTAAGATCAAGTCCAACCATAAAAGCAGCAGCACCACCATGTTCACTGCTAACCCATGTCCTCAAGTGCCACATCCACATGTTTTTTGATCAATTCCAAGATGGTGACTCCACCATGGCCCTGGACAGCTTGTGCCAGCTTCTATTTGTTTGAAAAAACAACCCTAAAGCCCCCTAGAAATCCAACAAGGATCATCAGAGCTGGGAAGGGTCAGGAGCACCAGGAGGAGCTGAGGGAGCTGGAAAGGGGCTCAGCCTGGAGAAAAGGAGGCTCAGGGGGCCCTTCTGGCTCTGCACAAGTCCCTGCCAGGAGGGGACAGCCAGGGGGGGTCGGGCTGTGCTGCCAGGGAACAGGGACAGGAGGAGAGGGAACGGCCTCAGGCTGGGCCAGGGGAGGCTTAGGTTGGATATTGGGAGAAATTCCTTCAGGGAAAGGGTTGGGAAGCATTGGAACAGACTGCCCAGGGCAGGAGTGGAGTCACCCTGGAAGAGTTCAAACAACGTGTGAATGCGGCACTTGGGGACACGGGTCAGCAGTGGCCTTGGCAGTGCTGGGGAACAGTTGGACTGTGTGACCTTTAGAGGGCTTTTCCAACCCTAATGACTCTGTGATTCTACAGGGAACTCGTAAAATAAAGACAAAAAAAAGAGAGAGGGGGAAGGGCAAATCCTGACAGACACTGGCAGCTGCCCTTTGTCCCTTGCTCAAAAAAGAGAATTCCAGGCCCTGGTCCCCAGGATGCTGCCGGGTGCTGTGGGCAGAGGGAGCCTCGCGTGGGCTGGGGGGGGATGGGGGAGGCAGTGCAGAATGGGAATCCAGCAAATTGACTTTTCCTATAATTTGATTAAATAGCGGGAGCCGGGACAGGGAATGGAGTGCAGCACGTCTGAGAGCCCCGCGCCATCTGGCAGGGGCTGGCTCGGGGCCAGGCGCCCAGCAGCTGCACCAACAGCCAAGCCAGAAACCCACGGAGAAAACAACAGGGATAAAATGGCAGGGATGGAGGGAGCAGGGGTGCAAAGCAGGGCGGAGGCAGAGCAGGGGGAACTTCACCTTGCTGCGCATCCACCCTGCTCCACCACTCCTGGAACACCTCCTGCTGGATCCTGGAGGGCCAAATTTCACCACAATCCTGGCCCTGACCCCCTGCTAATTTTTCCTTTTGCTGCCCAGCACAGGGGAGGCTGTGGAAAGCCAATTCCATGCTCTGCACGGAGCCGTGTCCGGGGCTGGGCGCTGCAGGCAGCTGTAAATCAGGGCCAGGCCCCGCTCCCCAGCCCGCGGCCCCAGCCCAACGCCGGCGGCCTCGGGGACCTCCAGGTGAGGTCATTTCCTCCGGTTAAAACTTGCCAGCACGGCGAGAGCCGCTCGAAAAGGCCCAGTGCTGGGATTCGCAGAGCTTTGTGGTCTTGGGCTGTTTTTCCCTCCTTGTTTTTCTTGCTTAAATGCAGGAGCTGGGGTGGGACTTTGGGCAGACTGAGGCTAAACAGAGCAGTGACCAGACTGGGAATGTACAGCCTGAAACAGCTCCCAGGCACTGAACTGACTGTGGCAACAAAATCCAGCAGGAACCAACTTGCACAAAATCCCTCCCCGGGTTCCTGTGGCACCAGAGCTGATGTGGGGCCATATCCAGCCCTGGATCCTGTGCCCAGACAGGCCAGGAGTTCCAGAGCTGCAGGGAGACTCCAAGGGGCTCCGTGCCCTGAGGGCAGCCCCAACCCAGCACCTACTGCATGGAATCCTGGAATGGTCTGGGTTCAGAGGAACCTCAAAGCCCATCTCATTCCACCCCTGCCATGGCAGGGACACCTTCCACCATCCCAGGCTGCTCCAAGCCCCGTCCAGCCTGGCCTTGGACACTGCCAGGGATCCAGGGGCAGCCACAGCTGCTCTGGGCACCCTGTGCCAGGGCCTGCCCACCCTCACAGCCAGCAATTCCTTCCCAATATCCCATCCAGCCCTGCCCTCTGCCACTGGAGCCCCTTTAGGCCCTGCAAGGGGCTCTGAGCTCTCCCTGGAGCCTTCTCTTCTCCAGGTGAGCACCCCCAGCTCTCCCAGCCTGGCTCCAGAGCAGAGGGGCTCCAGCCCTTGGAGTCTCCTGTGGCCTCTTTGGGACAAAAGCACTGAGCCCAAAGGCCCTGGGTTCCCAGCACAGGTTCCTCTGTGCCTGTCCCTGCCTGGCATTGCTGCTCACACCCCCTGAAGCCCCTCACGGTGCCAGTGCCTCTCGGTGTCTTTGGCATCACTCCCTGTTCACCCACCCACCCTCAACTCCTGCAGCCGCTGACCTCAGTGAGGTTTCAAAGCAGCTCGGGAATTACAGATTAAAGCACTTCATTTTAATCAGATGCTGATTAACCTATTTATTTTGCACGGGGTCCAGTGATAACATGGGGCGGGCTCCTGCATGGGCAAGTCAGACAAGAAAGAGCCTTTGATCTGCTGCCTTTGAGGCCACTCCTGCTTCACACTTCTCCTGCCGCCTAGGCACGGATCTGTCTCCCCAGGTGTGGAAGCTCAAAAAGAAACCTGAAGCTCCCAGCACAAGGAGGGTGAGGAAAAGGGGCAGAACCAGCCTGTCCTCTGAAAATTGGAGCTTTGGCATAAAGGGGAAGCTGAGGCAACAGCCAGGGTAGAGAGCGAGATTTAGGTTGGATGTTGAGAAAAAATTCCTCCCTGTGAAGGTGGGGGAGACCCTGGCACAGGGTGCCCAGAGCAGCTGTGGCTGTCCCTGGATCCCTGGGAGTGCCCAAGGCCAGGCTGGACGGGGCTTGGAGCAGCCTGGGATGGTGGAAGGTGTCCCTGGCTATGGCAGGGGTGGGGCTGGATGAGCTTTGAGGTCCTTTCCAACCCAAACCATTCCATGATCCTATGAAAGGCTGGAGTGCAGGTGTCACTCAGACAGAGGGAAGGGGCTGAGCTGTGGCAAATGCCAAGCAGCTCTTCCTGTGGGAATCAGGGCCCTCCAGGGCTCTGCTAGCAGGAAGGGACAAGCCCCAGCACTTTGAAATTCGAGGCCAATAAAGGCCATTTGTCAGGGGTGATGTTTACCCCTCATGTATATATATTTAAAGCCCAAAATTTCACACAGAAGCTCAAGGCAGCAACACAGATTGTGACTCAAGCAGGTTTTCCCTGTAAAAGCACAGACTCTTGGAGCTGGTTTCTGCCTCATGTAGATCCACAAGGACCCTCCAACACCCCCAGGTCTGTGAGCCTAACCTGGCAAGGCCTCAGTGTCCCCCCTCCTCTATCCTGCAAAGCCAGCACCTCAGGGTGCCCAAAGGCAGAGCCTGTGCTGGAGGTCACAGCTCCGCAGCAGCAGTCAGGGAATGCCACAGCACGGATTTCCCCGTGGATGGGGGTGTTCCCTGGGAAATGGGGGAGTGTCACACCGGCTGTGGCAGAGAGTGAGGGCACATCTCCAGCACAGCCCCGGTCTGGGGACAAAGTCCGATGGGACAGAGCCGACCCCCTCCAAGCACGCAAACATTCCAGCCAGGAATGCAGCTCTTGCCGCCAGACAGCTCCCGTGTTCCTGCAGGAACCCTCCAGCCCGCTCCAATTAGCTTTCCTGGAGATCCCATTACTTCCAGCCACAAAGACATTGTTCAGTTTATTCCCCTGGAACAGCCGCGGGAGCAGGGGTAGCTCAGCTTTCCTCTGAGGCAGCGCACACCTGGAGCGGGCTCAGCTGCCGGCCCCCGGCGCAACTGCACCTCACTCCTGCAGGGAAACCCGAGCCCAGGGCTCGCCTTTCACCCGCCACATAGCGCCAGACACGGCCCAGGCTGCGGGCCACGGCTCTGCTCCTTCCCGGGGAGCTCTCCCTCCGCTCCCCACTCCCCACACGGGAAATCCCTTCCCCAGCCGCGCTGCTCGGGGCACGGGGAGCAGGGATGGGGAACACGCTGCTGCCACTTACCGAGGAGGGGAGTCCAGGAGGCACCTTCCGAACCTTTTTGGGCTGTCCATCTGGATCAGAGAAGAGAGGATCTGAGTGTTCAAGGGGGTTAGAGGGAGGGGAAACGAGCTGCAGCCAAAATCTCTGGGGTTGGAAACTGCAGCTACAGACAGGGCTGAGATTCCAAACGTCCCGTGGCCAAGGAAGTATCGACAGTGGAAATGTCCAAGGATGAGCCTCTCCAAATCTTGTCTGCGCCCTTTGGGGACATGTTTCACACCCACACGGAGATCCCAGGACAGCAAGAGCTTGCTGGGAGAGACCGAGCCCATAAATATAAGAATGTTTAATGTTACAACCCCTCATTGGGGTTGTTTCTTTGGAAACACTTTCAACTAGAATTGGGTTTGTGGAGAGAGGATGCAGAAATGGAACGCTTGCAGGGCTGGGCTGTATTTTCATTTGCTTCCTACACAGGGATAGACTTGGGAAAGCTTCACTGCTGCAGGAGGCAGGGATGTGCTTCCCAGGGACAGACCCCAGCCCATCCGTCCAGTTCCAGCTCTGGAGGGGCACAGTGTCCTGGGGGAAGGGGATGGCTCACGGAGGTGGTGGGGAAACATCCAGAAGTGGCTCATGGGGAAGCAATGGCTAATTTTTTTTAAAATTCTATTTTTCATAATTATTATTTTTATAACTATTTTCCCATAATTATTTTTATTATTTTTCATCATTACTTTTTATTATTTTTCATAATTAAGGAAAGCCCTGGCTGGGGGGCGCAGGGTGCTAACACAGCTACTTGCCAAGCCAGGGACTTTGCTGGGATGTACCTCCAGAGCAAAAATTCATCCCACAGAATGCTAGGGAATTATTTTCCAGGCTGAAGTGGCAGCACCAGAGTAGGTGCCTTTTTCTGAAAAGTACTGAAAAATGCACCCATCACTGGGTCACTTCTGGTTTCATTTGTTGGGGAAAGCCCAAAATAGCAGCAGGAAAGCGGCTCTGGAGGGTGTAGGGGGAACTGTGACGAGAAACACAAATTCTGGGGAACTGGAGCTTGTCTTCCCTCCGAAGTTAAACTCACACCTGACCCTAGGCTTTGGTAAAAGCTTATTCCCAGGTCGATCCAGACACAGGCAAGCCCTGCTTGGGAACAGCGGAGCGGGCAGGGAGAGCTCCTGGAGCAAACATTGCCTGTGTCCCAGGCACAGCACCCAGACCTGCCATTGCCTCCTACACCCTGCTCCTGCCAGCCCTGCCTGCTGCAGCTCCAGGAGGGCCACCAGCCACACAAACGGCTCCATGGCAGCCCAAGGTTTCACAGGAAGGACAAGCGATGTGCAGTGAGGTGTTTTTACAAGAACCTCAAGCCATTTGCTGCTTTCAGCTAATCTGGTATTTTCCAGAAAGAGGGAAATTGTACCCGACTCTGAGCACCCCTTCTTTGAGGTTAGATCTCTCTCTCTATATACATATAGAAGATATATATATATATATATATATCTTTATATGCATTCCCTCCCAAAAAAGAACAACTGCCAAATTCATGCCAGGGGCACACATGGCAACATCAGTCCCTCATTCCCAGCATCAATGTCCTCATTCCCAAAGGCAGATCTGACTAGGGCACCTGCCTAGCTGGCGTGGTGGCACCCGGGGAACACGCAGGCACTCACCTATGCTGCTCTCAGCACCTCTCCTGCGAGGATTGTTGGGGTAAGAAAAATACTGAGACCCCCCTTTGCCCCCAGTGGGGGAAAGCGTGCTCGGGCTGGCGATTCCCATCTCGCTGGGCAGGAAACCAGGCTGCAAACAAGGAGAGAGAAAAGCCCTTCCATGGAATTACACTGGAAAATGACTTGCTGGGAGAGAACAGAGCTGCTTTGAGCCACCTTCAAACCAATTCAGCTGAGGGGAAAAATAAACACAAGCCAAGGGGCCAGGAGGGAAAGCAAATCTGTAAATATGGGGGTGGAGGTGGGGGAATAGGTGTGGAGGAACAAAAGGGGCTTTCAGCTTGTGCTTTCCTGCTGGATCTCAGCAAAGAACCTCTGCAAACCAGGGATGCAAACCAGCAGGTGCCATGGTGGGGGGCATCGTGGTCCCACAGTCACAGTGCAGGTGCCATGGTAGGACCCCAGTGGTTGCACGCTCACCTTGATGTCCAGGAAGACAGGATGAGCCCCATGTCACCAGCCCACGTTGTGGCCAATACCCTGGAGTGGTATTGACCCAATGCTCACAGTGGTTTTCTCCTGAGTTTTATCAGAGAAAAGCCAAATCCCTCTTTCCAAAGCCAGGAAACTCCTCCCTCATGTTTATCCCAGCTGACCTTGGGCACGCTGGGAAGCAGCACGGGGCTGGGGGAGCTGGAGCCCAGGGTGCTCCTCCTGGGACGGAGCCTCTCCTCCAGCACTGCCCCTCTCACCTCGGGAGGAAGTTCAGTAAATTTACATGGAACTGCACAGGGCTGGCAAAGGGCCCTTAAATCCCAAAAGCTCAGCTCTGACCCATCTTCCGAGGGCAACACATGGAAATAAAGGAGGATTTCAGGCTTTTGAGAAACTGGAAAGAAAAACCTTTGCTTTCAAACTCTGTCTCCTCCAGAAAGGGGTCATGGAGGGAAAGAAGAGCTCGTGTGTTCACAGCTGGTGACATTCCTGCAATCTGTTCCACTGCTCAGGTTTCCTCTGCTCCGGACCCGCTCCGCGCACAGCCAAGGAAAGCACCCGGAGGGATCCCGGGAGCTGCTGCCCTGCTCCTCCTGCAGGCAGGAGATGCACTGGGATTTTGAAGCAATTTCCCAGAGAAAGGGGTTTTCTTCCTGTTTCCTCCCCCTGGGGATGCCCCAGGAGATGGTTCAGGGTTAAACAAGGGGGAAATGCTTTGCCAGCTCTGCTCCAGAGCAGGGCATTTCTGGGGAAGAACCTGATCCACATTCAGGGCATCTCCACCAGACAATTTTTCATCTTTTGAAAAACAAACAAAAAAAAGGGTCAACCCCCCTTACTCCCCCAAACTGGAGCCAGAAGCAACAACTGCTCTGGGGGCCACAGAGGCTCCATTGGCCTCCCCCACCCCCCACAAGGGGGTTTTGTCTCCTCTCCACATCAAGTGGGATTTGCCACCCGATCCCAAGCCCTGTGCCCGCCTCTCCCGGGGCCTCTCCCGGCCATTTGCCCCCCCATTTCTGTTACCTTATATTCCCCCTCCTCCACAAAAGCCCAGCAAAACCATCACATCCAAAAGCAACACTTGGCACTGGGCCCAGTTTTCTTTGAGCAGCTTCAGTGGTAAATGAAATCCACTCTGGCACAGCCAGCACAGCTGCTCCAGCAAAGGAAACATCCTCACTTCAGAGAGGAGGAAATTATGACAAATTTGTGTAAAATTAAAACATGTAATATGTGTGTGTGTACATGGATAAAATAAAAGCTCTCCGGCCAAAAGCTCCTCCCTTGGCTCCAGTGCTGGGACAGTTTCCCCAGGGCCATGCTGGGCACTGAGGGGGCACTTGGAGCCACACATCAAAGGGAGGTGCTCGCTCCTTCCCAAGAAACTATTTCTGGATGCTGGTGGCAGCAGGGAAGGTTATCTCAGGGCTGCTCCCCTGCATTCCAGGCTCGGATTGGCGCCTGTGGTATTCCCCACAGGAAGCAAAGTTGTTCCCCCCAGCAGCTCCTGCTGCAGGGTTCATGTGGGGTGACCCAACGGGGCTGGGATGTGTCTGAAGGAGGTGGCTCTGCTGTGCCAGATCCCATCCAGGATTGTGGAGATCATGGAGTCCCAGAAGGATTTGGGTTGGGAGAGACCTTAAAGCTCATCCAATCCCACCCCCTGCCATGGCAGGGACACCTCCCACTACCCCAGGGTGTTCCAAGCCCATCTAACCTGGCCTTGGACACTGCCAGGGATCCAGGGGCAGCCACAGCTGCTCTGGGCACCCTGTGCCAGGGCCTGCCCACCCTCCCAGCCAACAATTCCTTCCCAATATCCCATCCAGCCCTGCCCTCTGGCAGTGGGAGCCATTCCCTGTGTCCTGTCCCTCCAGGCCTTGTCCCCAGTCCCTCTCCAGCTCTCCTGGAGCCCCTTTAGGCCCTGCAAGGGGCTCTGAGCTCTCCCTGGAGCCTTCTCTTCTCCAGGTGAGCACCCCCAGCTCTCCCAGCCTGGCTCCAGAGCAGAGGGGCTCCAGCCCTTGGAGCAGCTCCATGGCCTCCTCTGGACTGGCTCCAGCAGCTCCATGTCCTGATGCTCCACAGAGAGCTCCTGCTGCAGGTCCTGCATCAACAGCCCCACCATGAAACCACAGCTCCACCTGACAGTCACTCAAATGATGCTGCAGCAGCACAGAAACCAGCTCAGAGACCCTCCTTCCCCAAAACTGGGACACAGGACACTGGCCAGGGAACTGGGAGATGCTGCTGAAGAGGGAGATGGAAAGCCCAGGGCAGGCAGTGGAGGGGGAAGGAACCTCCTGGAATGCTCCCTTGCCCATGGCCAACCTGGCACAGGGAAAGGTGTTGCTTTGATCTGACTCCCTGGAACTCCCCAGCAAGGCAGCGTGGCTTGGTCACGGCTGATCAAATACAAACCAGGAGTAGCAATAACACAATGAGTGAGGCTGAAGAAGATTGGGAAGGAAGAGGCTGCTACTACCAACAATTTCTAACCTCTGGCAACTCTTCTGAGCCAGCAGCCCACACCAGTATGAGCCCCCAACATTCCACAGAGGTTTTAGAGCAGAGCAGAGGCTTCCCAGGACCCCCTGCACGGAGATGAGATGTAAATCCACGCTGGTTTTCATTATCAGACTCACTCTTGGGAGCCAGTAAATGAAGCAGAAAATCTCACTGCATTTTATCATTCATTACCTGGTTTAGTCCTGGCATCCCTGTGTCTCTTCCAAACGTGGAGTATGAGGCTCTTTCACTGCTCTTCCCTGCAGAAGGAGAAGAAAAAAGACAAGGTTTGGGATAAGAGGGAAGTGGAGGGGGGCTTTTTTGCCTCCAGGCACCTGGATCCTGCTAAGGGACAAGTCCTGTTCCTGCGAGGCAGCTTGCCCTGCCCTCCCATGAAGGGACAGCCTGAAAAGCTCGTATTAAAGCAGGAGTTGCTTTAAGTTCATGGAGAGCAGGTCCATAAACACCAAAAGCCTGGAGCTGCAGAGGCACAGGGAAGTGCTTGTGGCCATGGAAACTGGCAGTGTCAGCCCTGAGCCAAAAGCTCCCTGCAGACACCGGAGACCCGGCCAGCTGGACTGGGCAGAGGCAGGGCAGAGCAGATCAAGGGCCAGGACAAGTGACCAGACTCCGGGTGTGCTTTCCAGACAACAGGAAATGCAATCCCAGCACATGAGAGCTGAGCTCCTGCTCCACACAGGGCACTGAGCACCTTCTTCCCCTCTCCTGGGGGAGGTTCAACTTCCCAAGTGAACTGTGGTTCCCCACAGCCAGAGCATTGCTGCCAGCTGGGTATCTGTGTGGGAACAGCCCTGTGCCAGCAGTGCCGCATGCCCCTGTGACCATTACAGAATCCCAGAAGGATCTGGGTTGGAAAGGACCTTAAATCCCATCCAGTGCCACACCCTGCCATGGCAGGGACACCTTTCCACCATCCCAGGCTGCTCTGAGTCCCATCCAGCCTGGCCTTGGGCACTGCCAGGGATCCAGGGGCAGCCACAGCTGCTCTGGGCACCCTGTGCCAGGGCCTGCCCACCCTCCCAGCCAACAATTCCTTCCCAATATCCCATCCAGCCCTGCCCTCTGGCACTGGAAGCCATTCCCCTTTGTCCTGGTACTCAGGATCAGTGAAGGTTTCTCTCACAACCACCTCAACCTGCACACTCTCAGCTGAAAATAAAGGAGCCCAGACCCCTGGTGGGATGTTCCTTCTCTGAAATATCCTGGCACTCTCCTGCCTCATGGTCACTGCCCTGGGCACAGAGTGGCCCAGGCAGCAGCACCCAGGGGTGCCAGGACAGCAAAGGACACAAGGAAGGGAGGGAGGGAATGGTTCTGTGCTGTTCCTGGAGCAGCTGGAGGCACAACTGCATCCTTTGGGATTCTCTCCATTACCCTAAAACAAAACCAGACACCCTTCTTGTGGGGAACAGGCACTCCACCAGCCCCCATCCCCAAACCCTTCCAAAAAAGGGAACCACAGATCACATCCTGCCTCTGGTCTGGCTTAGTGAGCAAAATTGGGAGGGGCAGGATTTTGCCAATCTGCTTAGCCTAAAGCCAGCCCTGAAGCCACTAAGATGCAGGTTAATGCACACAGGCAACGCTGGGGCTGGCAGGACCTTTTCACACCACAAAGAGGTTTTTGGGGAGCAGATGAAGAGGAGTGGAAGCAAAATGCCTCAAACCATCCTGCCTGAAGTACCGGACCCAGAGACCAGACAATGCCAGTGTGGTTTGGGTTGGAAAGGATCATAAAGATCATCTCATCCCAGCCCCTGCCATGGCAGGGACACCTTCCACTGTCCCAGGCTGCTCCAAGCCCTGTCCAGCCTGGCCTTGGGCACTGCCAGGGATCCAGGGGCAGCCACAGCTGCTCTGGGCACCCTGTGCCAGATGGGAAGAGAGAGGAGGCTGCTCATTTTGCAGCCTCACCATGGAGGTCTTGAACTCAACCCAAAAATTTTAGAGTGGATTCTCCCACTACAACCCCCAAGCCCCAGACTCCCATTCCTGATGGGAATGTCCTGGCACGGTGCAGCCTCCCCCTCCCTCTGTCCAGTGACAGCCGGAGGCTCCGGGTGCTGCTGCCATTTCCTTTCAGAGGCTTAAATGTTAAGTAAACAAAGGTCAAAATGTCAGAGGATGGATCTCCTAAATGACCTAATTTCTAAAAGAGCTTAAGAGCTCGATCTGCCACAGCACCAGCCAAGGGGACAAAGCAGGTTGTGGCATCAGGCAGGTCCTGATTACTCCTAAAGCAGAGCTTGGCTGGACAGCAGCAGCCAGGTCTCCCATCTGATAACACACTGCTGCTTCCATGTGTGACTGGAGTGGGGAATCACGGAATCACAAAATAGTTTGGGTTGGAAGGGACCCTAAAGTTCATCCAGTTCCATCCCCTGTCATGGGCACAGACACCTTCCTCCATCCCAGGGTGCTCCAAACTCCATGCAGAAACCTCTGCCTTCACCAGAGACCTTGGGCTGAACCAAGGGTCTCCTGGATATGTGTGGGAAGGTGAAGGGACACTGGGCAATCCCCAACCATGTGACGCTTAACAAGGGCAAGTGTCAGATCCTGCCCTGGGATGGGGCAGCCCTGGGTGCAGGGACAGACTGGGAATGAGAGGCTGGAGAGCAGCACCCTGGGAAGGGACCTGGGGGTCCTGGTTGGTGGCAAGTTGGATCTGAGTCACCAGTGAGTCCTGGCAGCCCAAAGGGCCACCAGGCCCAGGGAGGGATTGTCCCGCTCTGCTCTGCACTGGGGCAGCCTCACCTCCAGTGCTGGGGGCACTTGGGGCACCACAAGATCAGGAGGATCCAAAGCTGTTGGAGAGTGTCCAGAGGAGGGACACGGAGCTGGGGAAGGCTCTGAGGAGCAGCTGAGGGCACTTGGCTCGTTCAGCTGGAGCAGAGGAGACTGAGGGGAGGCTCCTCGGGGGCTGCAGCTCCTCCCGAGGGGAGGCGGAGGGGCAGGGGCTGAGCTCTGCTCTGGGACAGGGACAGGAGCCCAGGAAGGGCTGGAGCTGTGCCAGGGCTTGGGATGGATCTCAGGGCAAGGTTCTTCCCCCCGAGGCTGCTGGCACTGCCCAGGCTCCCCAGGGAATGGGCCCGGCCCCAAGGCTGCCAGAGCTCCAGGAGCATTTGGACAGCGCTCTCAGGGATGCTCAGGGTGGGCTTGTTGGGGGGTCTGGGCAGGGGTGGACTCAATGATCCCTGTGGGTCCCTCCCAGCTCTGGCTATTTCAGGATTTTATGAACCCAGTGCCAGCCCTGCACTGCTCCAAACCCAGATCCTTCTCTGGATTCTCTCATTCCTCACTCAGCATCTGCTGCACCCTTGGGTCTGTGGGTGCCCCATGCGATGGGGAACACTGGGACACAGAGTACAGCCCTGGACAGCCCCAGCTCCTGCACCATCCATCCCTCCATAACAAGGGAAAAAAGCAGTAAAAAAGTCAGCAGAAGAAATTTTACATTTAACTGTCTATGAAAACAAGGCAGAAGAAAGACTGGCAAACCTCTGGATTGGAATGTACCTAAGCCTGCTGAAATTCAAAAGGAGAGGCTGGACTTGCCAGCAGAAGGAGCTGTTTCTGTGGGCAGAGAGATGGCACAGGTGGCAAATCCAGAGCCACTCTGTCACTCCTTGGCAGCCACAGCCCAGGGCACCAACCAGGAAAGGTGGCAAAGCCTCAGGAAGGAGGCAAGGACCAGGATGGAATCTCCGCAAACTCCATCCTGCTCCCAAAAGAATTACTGAAATCCTGCAGATGGGTGTACAGGGATGTTGTGGGAGGAGGAGAAGATAATGGGAATAAATCCCTTGAAGAGGAAAGGGGCTTCCTTTGAAAAGATGGTGAAGCACAGTGGAGGCACCTCGAGTCACTACACCCCAACACTGGCTGAAAGCATTCAGCATTTTCTGATCTTTCTGGCACCCCCCTCCTGCTTTTCCCCCTGCCAGCTCCTTCTCCTGCCCCTCATCTGCCTGTGCTGCCTCCAGCCCTGCCTAAGGAGTCTTTCCCAGCCTCTCTCCTCTCCCAGCATGTTCCCTCTTGCAGGATCTGGCTGTGTGGGGCTCTGGGAAGCCTCCCCCAGCCCTGCCTTCACCCAGGGCTTTTCCAGAGGAACCCCCCACACTGTCTGTGTGACTCCTCCCAAAGGCACATCTCCTCCTGAGCTTGGACACGAGGTAGAAAAATAAAAACTGCTCTTCCCAGAGCTTCCCACCCACTCTGGCAGTGTCAGGGATTGGCTTTGGCACCCTGGATCACGGTAGCATTTCACCTCCACCAGAGCAAACTGCTTTTAAATAATCTTATGTGTTGGCCATTTCTCTCACACACCACAGAATCACAGAATAGCCTGAGCTGGGATCCTCAGGGATCATCGAAGTCCAACTCCTGGCCCTGCACTTGACAGCCCAAGAAAAAATATTTAAATGCTGCCTACAAGTTTTTCCAGCAGCCACTGGCAGAACCAGTGCCCCTACATCACACCAGCCCCAGCACAGTCACCACCCACCGTGCACCTCCCCCAGCCCCACACTCCTAATTCCATTAGAATTCCATTAGAATTCTGGCCTGGGGGAAAAGGAGAGGCAAAACACAGCCAGGGATTAAAAACAGGGAGGAAAGAAAGAAGTTAAAAAACCAGGAGCAGCAACAACCCCCTGATTAAACCCATTGTCCAGGAAGACCCCCATCTACAGGCACTGACAATACCCACCCGATTAGGAACACTGCTCTGAAAGGCAGCTAATTACTAGAAATAATTACTAGAAAGAAATCTGTTATGGCTTATCAGTTTCCTCACTGTTTAACCGCCACTCCCTGCCTGTCCCTGCTGAAGATGAATGGTAAATTGTGAAACTGGTGACTTCAAACAGACAGAAAAGCCCTTCTCACCCTCCTCACCCTCTGGGACAAGCCAGGTTGTCACTGTGCTGTGTCCTGGCACCACCCTGGGACAGCCAGGAATGCCCAGGCTGGGAAGCTCAGAACTCCCCAGGAGGTTCCCTGTCCTCCAGGAGCAGCACTAAAGGCTCAAACCTGGAAAACTTGGAGGGAGCAATGGAGAGCTCAGACATTGGTTCTGCACCTGCTCACCTGGTTCAAAGCCCCCCACCTGGCATCAGTGCTTCTCATTCAGAGCACTGATGGTGTTTCCATCAGGGATTTAGAATCATGGAATCCTGAAATAGCCAGAGCTGGGAGGGACCCACAGGGATCATTGAGTCCAACCCTGGCCAGACCCCCCAACATTCCCACCCTGAGCATCCCTGAGAGCACTGTCCAAACGCTCCTGGAGCTCTGGCAGCCTTGGGGCCGGGCCCATTCCCTGGGGAGCCTGGGCAGTGCCAGCACCCTCGGGGGGAAGAACCTTGCCCTGAGATCCATCCCAAGCCCTGGCACAGCTCCAGCCCTTCCTGGGCTCCTGTCCCTGTCCCAGAGCAGAGCTCAGCCCCTGCCCCTCCGCCTCCCCTCGGGAGGAGCTGCAGCCCCCGAGGAGCCTCCCCTCAGTCTCCTCTGCTCCAGCTGAACGAGCCAAGTGCCCTCAGCTGCTCCTCAGAGCCTTCCCCAGCTCCGTGTCCCTCCTTTGAATGCTTTCTAATTTATTTTCTTATTCTTTTGACAAATTTAGGTTACTCCGTCCAGTACAACACAGCCCAGAGCTCCCTGCCCAGTCCATCCTGTAGAGAGCTCTGATTTTCCCCATCACCTGTGGAACTGAAGCTGTGGCAGAGGGCAGTGACTGAAGATTCCCCTCACAGTGCCTTTAATGAGAGCAGGAGGGGCATCACCCACAGCACTGTGGGACCCTGGATGGGGGAGCATCTCCCACAGGTGCTGTGTCTGTGCAGCCTCTCTTGGCTCTGTGCAGAAGGTGCCTCCCAAAGCCAAGCTCCCATTGTGCCCCATGTTCATCCAAAGAACATCCATGAGCTCAAACTCAATGGCTGAATAGAAATCAGTGCTTTTCCTTTCAAACTGCTTTTGGATCAGGTGTGCACCCTGTGATCCACACAATCACCACCACACAGAGACTGGGCTGGACTGGGTGAGGAGCAGTGACCGTCCTCTGGCTGCCACCGTCTGCTGCTCCTGCTCTGGGGCCACTGCAGGGAACAACAGGGATTAAATCAAAGCTTTGCACTCCCCAGCTTGACCCCAGGGGCTCAGCAGCCCCTTCCTCACTGCCCCTGGGAGGGGACTTGGGCTGGGGAGCGGGACCCTGGGAAGGGAAGGAGGGCTTGGGTTGGGGTGACACCTAAAGCCCAACTGGGACAGGGATGTAGCCTGTGTGCAATTCAGGGATGTGCTGGCAGTGTCCTGCTCCTCTCAAACTCACACCATGTGGAAAATTGAGGCAAAAAATCACCATTTGCTCCATTGCTCCAACAAATGCTGCCTGCTGTAGTGTCCCTTTGCTGTGGAAAGGTGCTCCCTGTCCCTAAAGCCCATCCTCAGAGGATAGGGGGCTGCAGCCTGGCCTGGGACATGCATGGACTCCAGGAACACAAAATCCAAAGGATAGGGGTCCCAGGAGGAGCCATCACCACCTTGACTGCTCAGATCCCCAGCTTTGGGGGTCCCTTTCAGCTCAGCCTCCCTCTCTACTGGCCCAACCCACTATTGCCAACACAGAGCATCCATGCTGCTCCCAAAATGGTTCTTCCCACAGTTCCTGATCCTCTTTGAAGGAATAGAGGTCGAGTGAGAGATAAAAATTCTGCTCTTGGAGAAGGGTTTAGATGTTTCACACACCTTTCATCCATCAACAACCACAATATGTTCATCCCCTCCACCTCCTCAGGTTTTAAAAGTCCCTGATTCCACTCAACCACCCCATTAACATGAACTTCCCACCCTGAGGGGCATCTTGCTGGCAGCCAGGACCTGGCAGACAAGGGGACACATTTCCAAAACTCCCCTTTCCCTACCATTTCCCCTCTGCTTTTACAGAAGCATTATTTTATTTTCCTGCCTTTCCTCTCCCTTATCCCTTTGCATTTTCCCACTCTGAAAGTTTTCAGAAGCAGCTTGGAAAAGAGGAAGAGAAAATCCCACCCCTGCTCTTCCCCATGTCCTTTCTTCACAGCACATAAGCCAAGAGGTAGGTTTAGACTGTATATTGGGAAGAAATTCTTGGCTCTGAGGGTGGGCAGGCCCTAGCACAGGTTGGCTGTGGCTGCCCCTGCATCCCTTGAAGTGTCCAAGGTCAGGCTGGACGGGGCTTGATGCAGCCTGAGACAGTGGAAGGTGTCCCTGTCATGGCAGGGGGTGGCACTGGATGGGCTTTGAGGTCCTGTCCCACCCAAAGCACTCCATGATTCTTTGATTCTACAATGAAAACTGATTTATGAATTTTGGAACCTGTTCCCAGAATCGATGCTTTCTACTTTAACCACATTCAATTTTAGGAACAAAAGGGACTTGGAAATATGAGGAACCCTTTCCTGCCTGCCTGTTCCCTGTATCAGTGGTGACCCCCCTGGGGAGATGCAGCCCCTTGAGCCTGGGGCCAGAGTGTGGCCACAGTCCTGCTGGCCCCAGGGCCAGCGCTCATCCTCAGCTCCAGAGCCACTGCAAATGGCCCCACGTGCCGGGGACCGGTCGGGCTCGCAGGGAGAGCTGCAGTGGCTGCCAAGGACCCGGAGCCCCGGCTTTGAGAGGGAGCCAAAGGCATCTTCCCCACACACATCAAAGGGGAAACCTCCGTGTTCCTCCCCAGGCAGCTCCTTCTCAACTGGGAACTCTCAAGGCTGCCTTGGCCCCGGGTGTGGGATGGGCTGGGATGGGTCCCCCCACGCACATCCCCCTCAAGCCGCACTGAGCTGCAGCAAGGCTCCCCTGTCCTACTCAAAAACTTCTTTGTGCTCCACTTACATCCTCCTGGGGAGGGAGGGAAAGGAGGAACTGCCCAGAATGGCTCCTCCCCCTGCACAGGATCCCCAGGGGACACCCAAACCTTGTCCCCCAACAGCACAAGAGGTGAAAGGGGGGAGCAGAGCTCATAGGGAGCACCAAGCCCTGACCCAGGCCAGGAGGGGCCAATGTGTGGCTGCTCCTGTTCCAGCATGACCCTGCTCTGCTCTTCCCCTTTGCCACCACATCCACAAAATCCACAGAGGGGATTTTGTTTTGGGGGGATTTTCTGTTTCAAACATGACTCCCTTTTCTTATCCCTCCCTCCCAACCATGAGCAAGCCCTGCCCTGGCCCCACTCCTTCCACTTGTGCTGGAGTGTTTTAACCACCCCTGTGTGTATAAAGATGGGGAGGACTAACCCCAGTTCCTGACCTAATGCCATTAGAGCTCTCTAAGCCCTCCAGGAGGGATATTTCTGCTCTTAATCTCTCCTCCCACCCCTGAGCTGGGAGAGATGACTGAGTGAATGGTCACACAGGATCACCGTCCCCAGCACTCGCCAGTCCCTGTGAGCTCCTCAAACTGCCTGCCTGGAGCTGGGGATGGAGTGGCCAGACAAGGCTGCTGGAGCCTGGCAGGATATGGAAAGAGGCCCCTCCAACCCCCACTGCAGCAAAGGGGGCACCCCCAACTCTCTGGGAAGTGACACAGCCACCGGCCCCTTGCAAATCACAGTCACCCAGTGGGTCTGGTTGGAAGCGACCACGGTGGGATCATCTGATCACAACTCCCCAATCAAGAAGGGTCATCCCAAGTCCTTAATAAATCCTTAACAATGTGCATCTCTCCCATCTGTAATTCCCAGTTCCCAGGAGCACACTCAGCCCACCCTGGAGGGCATCGACCCCTGCTACTGCCTTGGAGTGCTACCATAAAGCAGGGAAAAATAATCACACACATAAAACAGCTGGCACTGATGGCACCCTCTGGGTACCACCTCCCTGGACCACAGCCTGGAGAAGACCTGGAGCAGGTCCAGCACCGGGAACAGCAACGCTGTCCCAACGCTCCCCCCAGTGCCACGTGTCCCCTGCCCTGGGGACCTGGCAGGCAGCTGCAGGCACTCACCCACGAGTCCAGCTCCCAGGAATGGTGACGAGGAGATGCTGTTGTGGGATGGCAGCTCCCGGTGCTCACCGTAGTGGGGGCCTTCGCCATAGCTCTGCTGGGACAACAGGGGACAGTCACACCTGATGTGGGGATGCTGAGCCCAACCCTGAAACACTGCCAGGGCCCAGCCTCCCCCAGCAAGGGGCAAAGCCAAAGGCTCCTTATGAAAAGGGCATGGAAAGGGTTTTATCGTCATGCCAAGGGAGAGCTGTGCAGTGCAGAGGCTGTGGTGTTGGGAGGGGACATGGCAGCTGGGGATGTGGGGACAGGGGACATGGAACCATGCTTTGCCCTGTGCTGGTAGCTCTTGGGCAATTTGGCACCCACCAAGTAAAGGCCAGACAGCCCCTCCCTGAACCAGGAGGGTGAAGGGGCAAGGAAAAGGCTGGATAAATATAAATGTATATTTTTAGATATATTTATATAAAAATATAAATTCTAAACATACAAATGAGAGTTGACACCACAGTCCCAGCTCTGTCACTGACCAGAGGGAAAGAAAAGGTGCCATTGCAAAAACGAATCACACAAACCCATTACAACAAAAATGACACCATTTCCGTGAAGTTTGTGGCATTTCTCTCTTCCCATACTCGGGCCCCTGTCATGAGGTGTTGTAGCCTCAACTCCTTCCCTGAAAAACCCTTCCCAAGTTCTCCATTCCCACCAAAGGTGCCATGTCCAGACAATGTGGTGGATTCCAGGGATTCCCTCCTCAGGTTCCCAAAGTCTTGTGGGGTGGGTGCTCAGAAAGCTTTGCCATCAGATGAGATCCCCTGACCCACCCATCTGTGTCTCCTGCAGGTAGTCTCCCCTGGGCCCCCTCTCCCCAGACCAACACTGAGTGCAGGGAGGGAGATGCCTGAGCAGCCACCGAAGCCCATCTTAGTGCAGGTCTGGGAGAGGGTTTTGGAGGAGAAACCTCAAGGGGACCTCAAGGCAGCAAAGCCTGGGGAGATGGGGATGAGGGAAACCCTAGACAAGTTCACAGAACCCATGTCCAAAATGGGGCAAGAAAAGCTGTTCCAGGGTTGGACCGAACACTCTGAAAGGCCTGGGAAAGACCCAGTTTGTTTTGGTTGGAGCTTGGTGTTTGTGCTTTGTCCTTACCCTTCCTTGGTCAAACGTGGAGCTGTTTTGATCTGCCGTTCCCCAGGAACCTGATCCCGGTCTTTCATCCAAGCCTACCGAAAAACAGGAAGAACAAAGGTTACTCTTTGCTTTATCAGCAAAGCCTCAAAGGTGTTCTCGTAAAATTAACTCTTCCTTCTACAAACAAAACAATATTTTCATTAATAAACCACTTCCACTTGGCGTGACCGAGCCTCCCCTCTGCCTCCTCACCTTCCCACTCCCGCTGGGAGTTACTCCACAAACTTCAAAGCAAATCCCACCACAGCCTGGAAATGGTTCAAAACATGGGACAGTGGGAAGAGGAGAAACAAGTATTTTAACTCCTTTATTCCAGAGAGCACCCACAAACCTCTTTCCCCGGAGAGTGATGGTGACAGGAACTAACTATAAATCAAAACCACATTGCATCCATTTGGATGCTCCAGCAGGACTTGAATTTTGCCCATGGTGCTGCAAGATCATGGGCCAAACTCTGCTCAACCTGAGCAGAGTGAAAGAGTGCCCAGAGGCAAAATCCTCAGGTGGGAATTGCTGGGGGGTCCAGCGTTACAGAGTCACCTGTCCAGGGGTGATCTTCCAGCACCTCAAGGTTCCCCTGAGGAAGTGGGGCCATCAGAGCACACCCCCAGCCTTCTCAGCTTCAGCCCTCCCAAAAATATCCTTGGCAAAAAGCTATCCAAAACAGATGAGCAGAGGAGCAGGCAGAAGGTTTTGCAATGTTTCTGCAACAACAGGCTGAGGTGGGAATTGGCTCCTTTCATCCCCTGCCAAGTCCATGCAGGCAGCACCTCCTGGGCTGCACAAGGCACCCAGGGGAGTCAGAGAATCATGGAATGCTTTGGGCTGGAAGGGACCTTACTCAGCTCATCCCACCCCTGCCATGGCAGGGACACCTCCCATCATCCCAGGCTGCTCCAAGCCCCGTCCAGCCTGGCCTTGGACACTGCCAGGGATCCAGGGGCAGCCCCAGCTGCTCTGGGCACCCTGTGCCAGGGCCTGCCCCCCCTCCCAGCCAACAATTCCTGCCCAATATCCCATCCAGCCCTGCCCTCTGGCAGTGGGAGCCATTCCCTGTGTCCTGTCCCTCCAGGCCTTGTCCCCAGTCCCTCTCCAGCTCTCCTGGAGCCCCTTTAGTGAGCTGGGAATGTCCACCATGACACAAAAACCTTGGGATGTTGCATCAGCCCAGCTCCCACATTTCCAGCTGATAGCACAATCACACAGAAGGAACCTTCCCTGAAACACAGCCTCGACCTGACCCAGCTGGAGAATCCCTGTGCTGCTCCATCTCCTGCTCCAGTGGGTGACCAGTGGCTGGTGGGCAGCAGTTGGTGTCCAAAGGGGGAAAATCCAGGGATTTGAGAGAGGCTGGCCAGGGTGGGGGCATCCACCATCTTTGGAGGTGCTGCACAAATGCTGTGAACTCTGCTGGGTTGGACAGGGAGAAATCCCAGATCTGCAGAAGGCTGAGAGTGAGGGTGGCACCAGCCATGGACACTTCCCAGGCCATGGACACCCCCTGCTCCCCACCAGGGGTCATGGCCACACTGGCCATGGAGTGACGCCAGACTCAGCATCCCTGTGGCTCTCTGGGGACCCATCCTGTGCTGGTTCTTCCAATGGGGATGGCACCTGCAGGTGCCCCAGGATGCCCTTTGGGGAGCAAGGAGCTGAGCAGCAGCAAGGCCATGGGGGCAGGGGGTCAGGGCTCACTCCCATTTCGCTTGGCAAAGCTGATTATTATGGCAAACATGCCTTGGATTTGTCTCCTCCGCTCCCCTCACTGTTCATTTAACCAGAAACTTCTTTCAAATTACATCCTTCTATTTCTGTGCCTTTGTGTTAATCATTTCCCCAGAGAATTGGTGTTTAATTGCTGTCTAATTTGCATAATTATGCATATTAATCTCAACACCTAATGAATATTCATAATTCTCATTTAGATTTTGTTTTCTAATCAAAAATTTCCAATGTGATTACTGTGCAGAGCAGGGATAAGCCTCTAATAATACCTTGGATACTAGGGAGAATTACTGCCAATTCTCCCACCTCCTACTTCCTAGAATAAACTTTTGCTTTGCTAATGTGTTTTTCCAAAGCAATTCATCTGCAATCCCTGCAAACCCTGGCGAGGCAGGAGGCAGAAATGCTCCTTTGAGTCATTTTGCTGTCATGGCTGGTTTTAAAGCTCCCAAGGGTCGGGGAGAAGACAGGAGCAGGATCAGCAGCCTTGGACATCCTTGGAAAACTGTTCCCTTTGGCTGGAAGGATGAGAACTGCAATACCACAGTCCCCATGAGGAACCCCAGAAGCCTCAGAGGCAGAGGGGAAGCCAAGGCATGGGGGTCCAGACCCTCACACCCAGCCCTGCCCCGTGCAGGACAGGCTTTGGGGGTCGTGGGCCACCCTGACCTCTCACAGAGCCCTTGGTCCTGCCACCACCCCAACAGCAGAGCAGCATTCTCAGGCCAGAATATGCCTGGAGAGGATGCTCAGTGGGCTCTGGAAGGAGATAGGCTGCCTGGAAATCCAGGGAAATTTTCCTCAGGTTGTTGAGTCTTTCTCCTTTGAATGTCTCTTCAGATATTCAAGAACCTTCAGATAGTCTCTTGAATTATGCCAAAAACAATCTGGACAGAATCCTGTGCCCTGTGCTCTGGGATGCCCCTGCTTGAGCAGGGAGATGGGACCAGATGAGCCACCGTGATCCTTCCAACCTCACCCATTCTGGGATTCTGTGCCAAAATTCCTGAAAAATAAAAGTGAATCCTTGTCTGGTCTCCCCAAGGAAGGAGGGAGAGGGGACAGTGAGTGGCGCAGGGGGCAAAGGCTGAAGGTAAGGGTCACACATCCCTTGACAAGGACAAACCCCTGGCACAAGCTGCTGCACCCCGTGGTGCCACCACCATGGCAGAGACCCTGAAGAGGGGTCAAACCCCTGAGTGCTCCAACAGTGACTGCAGAGGATGAGCCACTCATCTGGAGCATGGCCAGGTCCCCAGCCCCTCTTTGACCACTTTGTGACCTAAATGGAGTCAAAGCAAACCAACCCTTTTTTTTCAGGAAGAAATTCCTCCTTGGGAGGGTGGGCAGGCCCTGGCACAGGGTGCCCAGAGCAGCTGGGGCTGCCCCTGGATCCCTGGCAGTGTCCAAGGCCAGGCTGGACGGGGCTTGGAGCAGCCTGGGATGGTGGGAGGTGTCTCTGCCATGGCAGGGGTGGATGGGCTTTGAGGTCCCTCCCAGCCCAACTCAAATCTGGGATTCTGGGATTCTGTAACCCCCAGGGAAAGCCAAAGTTCTCCTGTACCCTCCAGGTAGTTCCTGTAGCTGCCAAGGTGAAGTGAGGTTCCAGTCTTACACCAAAGCAGCAAAGAGTATCCCAAGGTTCTGGAAGCACCTCTGAAGGTGCCCATGCCAGCTCTGTCTGATGTCTCCTGAGAAATAAAGTCTTGCACCTTCCCCAAGCTGCAGCCACTGGCTAGAAAGGTGCCAGCAAAAAATCTCCCTGTTTTCAGCGCCTGCACCTGCAAGTGTTTTAGGAATTCAGGGATTTCTGGGATGAAGCCAGGAAAAAGCAGACTGCCCTCTTTCAACGTCTGGCATCTGTCCTACATTCCCTGCCAGCCCTCTCTTCCCTCCCTTCGTATTCCTAAGGATCCACAATTTGGCAGCAAATGCCCTTGGCCAGCTCTGCAAAATCCCAATGTTTGGCCATGGGCAGGTGTGTCTGGAAAAGCTCCCATCAGCAGGATCTGCTCCACTCCAGCACAAAGCCCTCGGACACGGTGTCACCCCAAACACGGTCACACATCCTGGCCCTGTGAGCATGGAGCAGCCAGGCTGGACCTGAGTGCAGGGAGAGGAAGGGGAAGGGGGAGAAGGAAGCTGGGGTTGGAAGGACATGGCTCAGCAGCTCCAGGGCTAAACCAAGGGCACCCCAGCAGCGGTAGAGGTGACCCAGGTGCCCAGGGAAGGATCAGAGGCACCTTGGGGCACCTGGAAATGTGTTTCCTGCCTCTGGGCATCACCCAGGAGCTGCCACAGGTGAGATGGAGATGCCATGAGAATCTTCTGGACCCCAACTGCCCCATACTTGTGGACAAATCTGCTGCCTTAAAACACCCACAGTGCTGGCAAAAAAAATGATAAATCCAAGTCACTGAAGAGAGATCATGTCCAAAGGGCCGTGGAGCTGCTCCAAGGGCTGGAGCCCCTCTGCTCTGGAGCCAGGCTGGGAGAGCTGGGGGTGCTCACCTGGAGAAGAGAAGGCTCCAGGGAGAGCTCAGAGCCCCTTGCAGGGCCTAAAGGGGCTCCAGGAGAGCTGGAGAGGGACTGGGGACAAGGCCTGGAGGGACAGGACACAGGGAATGGCTCCCACTGCCAGAGGGCAGGGCTGGATGGGATATTGGGAAGGAATTGTTGGCTGGGAGGGTGGGCAGGCCCTGGCACAGGTGCCCAGAGCAGCTGTGGCTGCCCCTGGATCCCTGGCAGTGCCCAAGGCCAGGCTGGACGGGGCTTTGAGTCCCCTGGGATGGTGGGAGGTGTCCCTGCCATGGCAGGGGGTGGGATTGGATGTGCTTTAAGGTCTCTCCCAACCCAATCCTTTCTGGGATTTTGTGATTCTGTGACTGAAAACTCCCATGGCACTGAGCTGAATTCTGTCTGCATGACAAAGCTCCATCCTGGCAGGGCTTGGCTTTGCCACCCTTCCAGTGCTCTCCCTCAGTGAGGTGTGCGAGTTTTGGAGATACCCACGTGCCCATGCTGCTGCCGGGAGCCAACTTGATTTTAAAATAACCCCATTTCCCAACTACCCAAGTTAAGGCACACTTTCCAATTGAGAAACGACAAAAATAGGAGCTACCTCCTCTCACCATTAATACAGTTATTAAACTGCATACAGATTAATTGTGCATTTTAATAACCCTAAGCATGAATATTCATAACACATTTCTTGCTCATGTTCTAATTAAAACATACTAATAGAATAAGATGTAGCTGTCAGACAGTCTTTTTTTTTTTCCTCACGGTTTTCCTGCCGCAGCCAAGA